GAGTTGATAAGTAAGAGAACAAACGTCAAAGTAAGTAGGTTAAGTAATTAAGAAGTAAAGTAAGTAAAGTAAGAAAGTAAAATAAGTAAATAAGTGAGTAAGTTTAAGTAAGTATTTAAGTAAGTAACAGATCAAAATGTTAAGCTGTAGAAGAATGAAGCGATTTAAAAGAAGAACAAAATTTGGTAAAAAGTTTGAAAATGTTGAAGATGGAAGTAAGCAGAAAATGTCGACATTTGCATTGATTCTATATGAAAAGAAGTGAATGAATGGTTGTTGACGGATGCAATTTCGTCTAAAAACGCTTGCTTAAGTTTAGTCTAAAAATTCTTTTTACTACTAGAAAACTATGCAAATTTTTAGTTAGACAAGATAAAATAAGCTTAGTAAACTTAGCAAAACAAAATGAGATGTGAAAACTTTCAAAAACTAACAAATGAATCAACAAAAGCTAAGTGACGTTTGTTGTCAGTGTTGGATTACTTTCACTTATTTAATCATTCATTCATGCAAATAACAACAGTGACAAATTGTAATAACAAACAATAACAACAACAATAACAACAATAACAACAACAACAACAACAACAATAACAACAATAACAATAACAATAACAATAGCAATAAAACTAACACTAACACTAACAATAACAACGATGACAATATAATTCGAATGACTGAAGTTGTAAGCTAGCGTAGCCCATTCGGAAGTTGCAAATGGAAGTTGTAAATCAGAATGAAAGCTCTGGAGACTTCATGCTTACTCAGTGCATAATCTTTCTCAAGAATTAGACATTTCATTGGTATGTTAGTTCTGTTTATATTTGTTATGTTTACTTTCATTAAGAGTTACTGTTGCACCAAAAGTTAATACCAAAAGTATAATGACAAATTATGCAATTATTAAATTTATAATTTTTGAATACTAAGCACAATTTCAGCTCAAAAAAGAGCATTATTCCCTAGCTAACAATATATTTTTGCAGCCTATTAAAAAGTAAAACTTTCTATTTGATAATAAGCAATTATGTAGTTGTAATTGAAACAATTCTATCTCTGCAAACAAATTATTTTATCTGCGCATTCCTGGCATAATGAAACCATATACACTACTACATCATGGTTTTTAATTTTTATTGGTATGTTAGTTCTGAGCTTAGCTGGTGCCACAGTAACTTTTAATATTACTGTTTATGCAACAGTAACTTTTAATGAAAGTAAACATAACAAATATAAACAAAACTGACATACCAATGAAATTTAAGCTTAACTTTTCAAAATCTAAAAAAATTTTGCCATACAATAAAACCATACGTATGTTAATGGTATCAAATAGGCGAATAACACATAGAGCATTTTGGCAGAAATAATATCTAACTGAAATAAAGTCAAACATACTAAGTTTATTTATGAGCAAGTTCATTTCAGTGTAATCTAGCTAAAACACAATAGGGGCAAAGGTAGTTTGAAAAATTTCAATATTATTCAGCTTGTCATACTTAATTGGATTAACGTTGCAGGCTGAAAATATAAGTTCTTAATATTTTGTTAAAAAAATAAATAGTTATTTTTTTATATTTTTATGTTTGTATCTAAAGAGTTGTAATGAAAGGCAAGCAAAATAAAATGTGAAATAACAAATGATAAAATCGATTTTTTTAACTTTTCATAAAAGTTTGCTCTTTTTAAGATTAGATTATTATATAAAACTTGGAGAAGAGTACAAGATTTGACTTGATTCAGCCATTTTTACAATCTATTTTCAGCTAATTACCAATATTATTTGATTGAGCATTCTGGCCTGTGCAATATATTATTTCTTCAAGTTTGTTTTGCATATTCAAAAGCAAAATTAAGTTTGATTTTGTTATGAAAATATCATAATTACAATTTAAGGTATAACTACAGAAGTGTGTACCATATTAAAGTTTACTTTGATGCAAGGTACAACAAATTAATACCTTTATTACCTATAAAGATATTATAATTACAATTTAAGGTATAACTACAGAAGTGTGTACCATATTAAAGTTTACTTTAATGCAAGGTACAACAAATTAATACCTTTGTTACCATGTTATTTTGTTAGAATACCTATCAGACTGACAAATTATACTATTTTTAATGAATCAAAAAAATGGCGTCATTATATCAAATATTATAATTTATGCGTATTTACTGTGACAAAATTTTGATTTTTTCCAAAAGTATTGCACATTTGTTCATTATAACTTAGCAAAATATTTTCAAAATTAATTAGACAGAAAAATTTGCATAAAAAAAATTAGCCTCAAATTCTGCTCTGTATAAATAAATATATTAAAGTACATGCAAAAAGATCAGAATACACAAGTGAATATTCACTGACACAAATAGACAAGCAAACATATAAGAAATTCAGATGCAGAGACATAGATGCATTAAGCAAATACACACACATACACACATATATACACACAGAAACAGATTCCAAATACTGACTAAATTTATTTAGATACAGACGTAAAAAAGAGAGATAGATATACGCAAATGCATTTACTTAAATCATAAATATACAGAAAAGCATACATACACACACATGGACGCATAGAATACATATATGTACATACATATATGATAGCAGAAACAGTAAAGAGAACACGTAACAAAAACGTCTACATAATAAGTCAAAAGAATGAGATGATGCTTGTGTTTGATTTCTGCTTGTGCTTCGTTACAACTATTCGCAGTAAACTAACCTCTGTCATTTATTGCTACTCAAAATATTGTGTATCTAAGGCAAACGAGACATATTTTTAGAAAAATTTTGTGCTGCTAACAAAAATCGTTGAAAATGATGATCGTACGTGAAATGTTTACTTATAGTACGTGAAATGTTTACTTAGTTTAGGCATTTAAAGTTTTCTCTTTTCATCTTATTAACAATCTCTTGTAGTAATAGCATTACACGCGTATTTATTGCATGCATTACATTTGTCAATGTATTCAATTATTTACATATTTGTTTTTTAATTGAAATACGTAATTGTTAAATGCATTTAAAATTAACATAACTTACGTTCATTGATTTTGATTTAAATTAACAATATTGTTAACTTACGTTAATTTTGAACTAATCTTGCGCATTATGAATTTTTATAATTTCAATTTTAAAAGATAAAGATGATAGATCAAAAGGAAATTGAACAAGCTGATTAATTCTTTAGCTTTTTAATAAATTGACAGAAGTATTTAGTCTTTAACTTCATCTTAAGCTTCTGCATTACGTGGAATTTGAATACTGGAAGCTAGAATCAAAGTCGGAAGTAAGATTTCTGATATTTAAAATCTGTACCTTTGCTAGATCATAAATTCTTTAAATTTATTTTCCTCAGTACTTTAAATGACACATTTTGTGCTACTTTGTAGAAAGCAAAACCATCATTCATTTAAACATTTTATCATTTGTGAACCTTAGCCTGTGATAGCATTGTTAACGTTATCAATATCACTTACTGCAAAGTTGTAAAGCTCTTTGTAATAACATTTTATATATTCTGCTAATAGTTATATCTTATCATTTTATCATAGTGCTGTGAGTATAACATTATTAGGAATTGGTACAACCAAATTTCACACATTTGCAGCCTCATTAAATATTTATAGTCAAGTGAAAGTATTGTTATATGGTTGGAATCTCATTTCAAATACTATTCTTGTTAGTGCTTCCGGTGATTCAAGCAGAGAACAAAACGCAAGAAGAATTTATTGAGGGATGCAACAATTTTTGCAATTTTAGAATTGATGAGGTGCAATTTTTATCACAGTTTTGTTAAAATCTATGCAAATTATTCAAGCGTTCAAGAATATCTGTTCAATTTTTGCTCTATAAAGAAGCATCATATTCTTCTAAAACAGTATTATCCTTTTCAGTCTTTTGTAATATTAAAGCATGAAATGAGTTATTTAAAGAATCTGATGATAAAATTAATTCGTGTAAATATCTGGCTGCTTTATTTTATTTGCTTGAGTATTTTTACACTTCAAAGGCTTCACACATCACTTACGTGGTGTTATTCGCAGAATTTCGAAAATGACTTAATTGCATACATTCAATTTTATCATATTTAATCATATAATGCTGCAGGATTTATCATGCTGGAATACAACTGCCAAATTTTTTGGAGAAGCATTACTAGTCGCTATGGTGCAATACGTTAGAACGCAAGTAAATAAATTACTGTCAAATTTATTTTTAATGACAACAAATTTTAAGTGATCATTACAGAATAAATAAATTTTACATCATGTCAAAGTGTAAGAATCGAAATGATAAATTCCACCAATTTTACGCAAAAAAAAACGTACATTCGAAATGACTAAAATAAAGCAATAGGTTTAGTCTAAGAATATGAAAGATTAGTCTACTGGTAACAATACAATTAAGATAACCTTCTAGATTCTTAGTAATATTCATTTGTCATTTATGTACTGGATAAAGGAGATGAGTATGAACGAAAACTTATTAACGGTCTCATGACCTTTACCTTCCTCGTGGTAGAAAATACTTGTTAGGGTCAGAAATAATCTAATACAATTGATATAGTATCACTTCCTTCTAACCTGATTTCTATAGCTGCGAGAAAAATAATTTTAATCTAAATGGAAATTTATATGTGTATACACTGTATATATTCTGTCTATTGTCCTGGTCTTATTTTGAATCATTTTGGGCGAATATTATAATAGCAATAAAGAATAATACTGATAAGGATCTATTTACTGTCACAGATGCAGTAAAAGTAAGTTGCTTTTTTTTTCAACTTTATTTGAACTGAAATTAATAGCAGTTAATTTTTGAAATTTTGTTTTTATCAGCGAACTGATAAGACATTTTCTGTTGTTAACTTGAATCACTGAGATTTGAATTAATTATATTTGATAGATAATAAGAATAATAAATTATTTGAATTTGAATTTTATACTCTTATCATACAGAATATCAGGAAAGTGTTAATCGAATGATGAGAAAAATGCGCACTCGTCACTTCCATGCTCTCTTCAACGTTCTCACTGAAAAATTCATAAACCAAACTATCACAACTTTTGTTCGTGCTGCTTTTGTAAGTTTCATTTTGAATTATTGAATAAAATATTAATTACAAGTAAATATTAAATATTAATTGTCTCTGATTAATTACAAGTACTTTGATTAGTAAGTAAGATGACTTGATGAGTAAATGTAGTTTATCTATGAGCAATTATTAGTTAGTTTCTGATTGAACCTTATTCATATTTCGTAGTTTTTTTTATCAGAGACATAGTACATACTTAAAAATAGTTGTTTTTATATATTTGACTGATTTTATCAGCGTCATAGCAATGATTTCGAATTTGATAGAATTTGTCAATATTTTGAATTATTAAATAAAATATTAATTTGTTATAACTTTCCAAAAAAATATTATAATTTGGTGTTAAGGTTTAACAGATGAATACCATTTCTAGTCAGTCTAGATAAAATATCACCAATTTTACCTTATACTTAAAGATATTACAGTAGACATAGAATATAAATAATTCAGATCATAAACTTTTTATTCGTATTTGTGATTGTATCTCTGCTGTAGAAAGCGGTAAAATCAGGTGAGCATCCAGCGTTACCGCCTTGTCCACAAGGATGTGAGAAGTCAGCAGGATATTTGATACTTTGGACATCAATATCAGCTTCACTGGTTGTGATCTTCACGTTTATGAAGATGATAGGGTCAGTCGTTTTGGACTGGAGAGATTCGCAGTATGCTGTAGAACAAGAAATGAAAGCAATCCAAACATTGAAAGAGAAATAAGTTTATTTGACTCTAAATTAGTTTTATTATTTATTTTTGTGGGAAATGTTCAGTGTTAAGCGATGCGATTTGTAAAAATAGATAGAAATTAGAGTAAAGTGTCAGAATACGGTTGAGATATATCTTCAAAATTACATATAACGGATATTTCGCTTATTTTTGATGATTGAAGCTAAGATTGCTCAACTATGTTGATTCATTTTCGTGTACAACTGAATGATTGTTTTGTTTTATTTGTTTCTAAGAGTTATTTGAAAGTTTATTTGATTTATATCAAAAAATTTGAATTGTAAATTCACTTTTTATTGTTGTTTTCATTGCATACTTTTTAGCTCATATCCATATTGCATACTCTTTAGCTGTTATCCATATTGCATACTTTAGCTCATATCGATATTGCATACTTTTTAGCTCATATCCATATTGATCATTAAAAGTTATACCAAATAGCATGAAGTAATTTAACTGAGATTAGAACTGATAGTTATTGCATATGGATGAAATTTTTTGTTAACTAAAAAGTGCCTCAGTTTAAGATTGCTTACATAAATTTAATGCAAAGGCGGTAAAGCAGCGAACCTTTCTTTGGATTGCTATGGAATTATTGGAGGTAATGAATTTGCATGAATCTGAAATGTATTCGAGAGGCAAAAATTAATTTGAAGTTATAATTCTTGTAGAGGGAGAAAAGATTCAGAAGTGAAGTTAAGATATAGGGTTAAAGGTTACAAATAAATAAATAAATAAATAAATTCAAAAGATGTCAAAAAATCTAAAATTCTAATATTTATTTATGCATTTCATATGATTAGTCATATGATTTAGTATGGCATAAATTTCTCAGTGCATGTGCTACTGATAACCTTAAATTCATCAGATTGATATTAACTATTAAATTATTGACAGTAAAAGCGAGAATGTATTAATGATGCAGTTTAACTGAATGAATTATCAGATTATGATTGAATGCATTCGAGGAAGAAGTCCACGTACAGTTCACGTATTATTGCTGATATGAGGTGTTGAGTTGATTTTGCATACTTTTTTTTCTTCAGAGTTCAAAGTATGCAGTAATTAGATTTGAATTCAGTACATGCTAATTATATTATACAGAAATAAATTGCATAAAAATTATAATAAGTAATGGAATGAATATCTTGAAAATTCCTGTACACATCAATTTGAATAGTAAATTTAACTACACAAATGTGATGTATTTGAATTGATTTCTAAATTAGTGACTTGATAAGACGATGCTTCTTCCATTTATAAGTGAATTGATAAAAATGATTTTGGTAAACAGAATTGTTGCACGTCGTTTCCGAAAAACGGTTCTGCTTACGAAGTTTCTGTAGCAATGAAATATTCCTTCACAATTACTATAAATTTAGGTATTCGTATTGTAATGTCTTTAGCATAATTTGTTTTTAAACTTTTAGTCATTTCTTAAGTAAAAATTATCAAATTTTTAAAATAAAAACGACACAAATTGTTATTAAAAATTTATTATTATTAAATTTGAACATTTAAGAAATGCAAAATTTGAACTTAGAATTTGAAAACTGAATTAATTATTAAAATACAAATATGTCAAAGTTCACGCTAATTACAGGTTTGAAAAGCTAATTTTTTACTTTTCAATTCATTTTATTTATAATTTTATTTAACTTTAATTTTCTGAAAGTATTATTTTTATTTAGCAAAAAGCAAAGAAACATAAAAGTTGCAAAAATCAAAGTTTAATTGAAAAAGTGAAAATAAATAAATATTATTTCTATTTCATTCTTGCGTATCAATGAAGTGATATGAGTTACGTAAGATGACTATTATTACGTGACTGATAACACTTCACTTGATTTGAATGCAAATCTATGCTGTAACAGTTTAATATTTTAAATTCACCTCTTTCTATATTGTTAATTAAATATAAATGTTCATTTAAGCATTATGTATTTTGGTATTAACGAGCACTGGCCCAGACACCTTGGGAACAGAATTCGTATTTGTTTATCCCCCAAATAATAGTGGAAGTAAAAGAACGAATGTTACTTTGGATATTACTAATGTAAATACAAGAAATGTTGCGCTAGTTACCATCCAATACAACGAATATTCTGGTGATAGTCATAATATCACTTCTGTATCACACATCACTGTTTTGAAAGTTAATGTATTCAGCAATATTGTGGTAATTCTTTTAGCTTTAAGCGTGATAGATAGATTGATTGATTGATTGATTTGATTGAATCGTATCAAATTTAAGTTTGTATATATTTATTACATCACGTAAAAATTATTTATTTATTTATTTGAGTATATAGATTGATTGATTTATTGGCAATTGTAAGACAAATATTAAATAATAAATTAAATTTTGAAAATAAAAAATAACATTTATGAACAATTTGTCAAGAAGAATTTTGGATATGATTAAATATTTAATTTGTGACAATTTTATTTTAATAGTAAATTTACTGTTTCAGTTTGCATTCAGTGGATCAGTTACTTTAGACAATATAAAAAATGGCTTACATTCATATACTGATAATCGAATTTTTATCAATTCTACAATTCCAATTACACTTTTAGCACGTAATTTGGATATAAGTGGCACACGTGACACTTTTCTTGGTCTTTATTGTTCTCGTTTTAATTGTTTCGCTCTTAAATATTTGTAACTATTAATTTTTTAGTCAACAAAACTAGAATTAGTCAAAATTACTAAAAATACTTTGATGCTATGTGACAGCTTACATTTCAGTATATTTCAACGTTTTTGGCTTTCATTTAAAAATTAAAAATGGAAACAAATTTTTCTTTTGTACAGAAAACAAAAACAGATTTATGCAAATTTACGTGGTATTTCATTATTACACAAATTGATATTTATGTACTCTAAATAGATCACATATTTGAAATTACCTATATCAATAATACTAATTAAGCGTACGTCAGTCTAAGTTTGTTTTGCATGTTCGTTTTCAGTACTACCGACGTCAATGGCGGATAAACAGTATGCTGTTATGCTTCCTTCATCAGCAACTGATGGTGCAACAATTGCATATTTGTTACCTATACAGAAAAATTTTGAAAACCAACAATTTACAGTTGAAATTACCAATAAAGCATCAACTTGCTCTTTCTCACATACTCTTAAGGTAGTTCATACTTTGCATGCATAATATCAAAAATCCCCATCAAATTCTTATTAAGTATTAAATTCATATTTTTTATGCAATCCTAATTTTGCGGAGTCATTCTTGGTTTTAATTTTTCAATTTCTGCAGTTTTCGAAAATAAAAGAACCATTTATTAATATTTTTGTTACTGTTTTTTCATTACGATATTTTGAATCAAACATTATATGGACAATAATGAAAAAATCATAGCAATATCATTAGTTACATTTTTATTAAGTATTAAATTTCTTATCAAGTTTAAATCGTAGCAATGTTATTAAGTACTAAATTAATTACATTTTAGATTGCAAAAATGTTTTCTAATCTAATCAGATTATAGTGGAAATCTTTGATGAATTACTACCATTCGCAGTATTATACTATTATTACCTTTTTTTTATGATGCATGAAAAGTTTTTTATTTTGTAGCTTGTTTTCGATTACAGGCAGGAAAAATCTTAGCATACAGTACAAGTGCAGAAAGTTTCACGCTAAGAGCGCAAAGTAGCACAGAATTTGTTATGGTTTTAGCTGTGCGCAAATTGCCAGTGAAAAAAGGATCGGATAAATTTGATTTTGGATGTTTCATGCCAACTGCAATTCCCTCTAGTGGTATTATTATCAAAATAATGCTTTATACTAAATTTTATCCTTACAGCTTATTAATACTTTAGAATTTTAATATCGATTTCATATTTGATTAAATATTTTTACAAAAATGTCAGCTTATGTTGTCTTCTTTACAAATTTTAATTGCATGAAAATTTAAATTACAATTTTTTTGTCATTGTTTAAAAAAAATATATATTAATATACTATTTTAAAAAATGTCAGTTCAGTAATTTGAAAATTATCTAATAAAGTAATAAAGTATCTCACAAGAAGTAATTTGTTGCAAATTTTAAGCTTGTTATAGAAGTATAAGCTTTAAAATAATCTTGATTTACAATGAAGATTTATAACTTAACATCATACAGGTTGCGATAAGTTAGCAATGCCAGATGATCATATAATTCAACTTCTCACAGGAAAATATTACTTACTTGCAACGCCTTCTGCTGATTGCGATTCTGTAGACATTACAATTCGTAGTAGGAAACAATCAAAAAGTATACAGCTTGCTATATCTGATTTCTCCAAAGGATCTAAGATTCTTTCACTGAAACATTCTGGAAATATGGCTGCAATCAGTACAATGTAAATTAGGCTTTCTAATAAAAAATACAAAAGTTTTATAAGTAAATTAAATTTATCATTACAAAGATAATAACTGATTCTATCAATTAATGATCAGTTGATAATTAGTTTTTTAGTGCAAATAAATAAAATACAGCTGAACCCAATACTTTAAACTTGCTAATTAATATTATTAGTTTGTTTTCTAATCTGTAGAATACTTTTTCTGCATACATATATATTATTTATGTAAAATAAATTTGCTTTAACTTAGGGTATTTCCATTAAATGTTGTTCGTTACGGTGGCTACAATATTGGGGATTTGAATTATGAAGAAGGAGCATACTTATATGAAGTGCCAACGACCTCTCAATTCGTTACTGGCCTAACTACTTTTGTTGTAGATGATGACAGTAATCAAATCACTGTAAGTTATAATTTCAATACTTTCTTGACATAATCTTTACTGTATTTGTTACTTATAATTTTCAAAGCATTTATTAGACAGCTTACAATAATTTTTAGTATTGAATGAAGTAGTTCAACGAAATGTATTGCTACAACTGCTCGTATGCTTTTATTAATTTTTAGATCATAGCAAATTATCCAGCAGTATCAAGTACTTATTTTGATGGTGAAAATACTGTAACCTTTGCTCCCTTACCTTTTTTCAATGAAACATGGTATTATGCATCTGGTACCGTACAACCTGGTTTCCATTTTCTGCATTCCATGGGTTCCTACATCACATATATTACTGGTCGGATAAATAACACTGCTTATGGATATGTTTCAGCTCTTAACAGTAAATATTTGCTGTTCTAAACTATCACTTTGCTTATACCTTCGTTTTTGTCATAAAAGTTTGATAAATTTTTTATATTTAGATTTTATATGTAAGCAAAAGTGACTTGTAGTGAAATAGTAAAAAAAATATTTTTAAATCTTAAAATTACTACTCTTACTCATATTTAATATTTTTTACCTTCTGTATCTCTCATATTCAGTATTTTTTGTCTTCTGTATCTCTCATATTCAGTATTTTTTCTTACTCACAATATTTTTAGGTCGAAAAGCCATCAAGCCAGTATCTACAGCAAGTTGGGGTATAATTTATATTAACTATTTATGCTTTATTCCTGTTCTATCAATTATATAATATTGTTAAGTGGCTAATTCCCAATTTTTTTTCCTTCAGATTTTGCTATGAAACCAGTATCAACTTCAGTTTTCACTTCTACACTGCAAGCTAACTCAACCTCTTTAACAACAACAACAATCTACAGTACTCCAGCAACATATCGATTACGAACCTCTGAAAATTCAGTAATTTTCCAGACCAAATCTTCTAGCACTCCTCGGATTTCTTCAGTTGCTTCTTTAATTTTTCAAATATCAAATTTTAATATCATTTATAGTTTATATTATATTTTACTGATGTGAATGACTGAGCAAAGACAAGTATTTTATTAAATTTCTTTAGTGTAAAATAAAATTAGCACAAAAAATTGCACTTCTTGTTAGCAGTATTTGAGTATTTTAATAAAGTATGTATTGATAAATGCTTGCAACAATGAAATTGATACAATTTATCGTACAGAGAAGTATAAAAATTAAATTTCTTACTATTTTTTATGCAATAATTTTACTGAAATTTTTGTTGGAAAATAAAATATAAAAAACACAGCAACAGATAAATTCATTCGAAGTTTCTTGAATTGATTCAAATACGTACAACAGTTTTAAACGTATGCACGGACAATATTACACGTAACCTTAAAATATGTAAAATTTTTTTATAAAATAAACTTAAAAGTATTATATATTCACGCATTTTTAATGAAAAGTAAACGGAAAAAATATGAAAGACAGATGTTGGAATGTTTTGCATAAATTAAAAAAAGATCGTAACTGATAAAAATTTGATAAGGCATTGATAAAGTGACAGCAAGCAGTGCAATGATAACAAGTTTAAAATTCTCTATTAATTCTCAGTGTATCGTCTACTTAGCAAATCGGTGCTAAATAATTTGCAAACTGTTGATAAATTTTCAGATAACGATTACTATTTAGCTAATTATTAGATTTGTGAAAATATATATTAATCTTTTGTACTGAAGATGCTTTTATCACTACATGGGGTGATATTCTTTTTATCAGGCAAGATTTATTGATTTTTGATAAGTAATAAAATCAGTGCTTATAGTTTCTATACCACGTTCTTTTATTGAATACTTTTTTTCTAACTTTAAAATTCAAAAACAAAGATGAAAAAATATTTAAGTGTGATCAATCAATGTAGCGCTTTTTTTCAATTTGATTGTTAATATTTCTGATTATCAATGAATTAAAGCAAACTTTACTCGAATCAATTCTTTTAGCAAACCTAAAAGTTTAATTTTTACCAAACAATTTGATTAATTATAAAATTTAATTATCGGATTTGCATTATGCAATTATAAAAGCAAATAAATTTATTCATACTTTATTAAGAATACTTTCAATTAATTAAAGTATTAAAAAGTATATGGATTCAATCACAGCTAAAATAATACCTAATTATTCTATTCATAAAATATTTCTCCTTTGAACTTTATAAAAGTTAAAAATAATTTGATAAAAATTAAAAATATCAAAGTAGTAGGTGCTATGTTGATAACAATAAATATGTATTATAGTGATATCTGGAATATTCAGCAGAGGCAATAATTCAATTAAATCTTTATTCGAACTTCAACAATTCCAAAATGTAAATCAGTACGTCACAAAATTTGAAAGTTCAAATGAAATTAAAGTCAATTCAATTCATCAACCAGATTCACATGGCCGAAACTTTATATTTATTGTGCCGCGAAATGGTCCAAAATCTTCATCATATCTTGAAATTATAAATCTTAATGACACTAACGTGAAGGTTAATATAACGTATAGAGTCATTCGAAATAAAAACAATACACTTATCAGTGATATAAAGACAGGAAGCGTTGAAATACTCTATCTTCACGTTGCAAAAGTTTGTCTTACTTCATTTATAATTATTAGCGAGATAGCTTTTGGTATAAAACGAATTTTGTACATAATTTAAATTTGGTAAATCCAAATTATTTACACCAAAAAATCTTTTCTTACAATATATATCTGACAATAGCTTCAAAATCTGTTGCAATAAACATTAGAAAATTAATTCTTAGGATATTATATTACAGAACTATAAATAAGTAATTTTTTATTGCGTGTTATTAAGTACTATCTGTTAATATTGAAATTAAATTTTATTTTTTCATTTTAAAAATGAAAACTTGATGTTTTGTAGAAAACGTTGATAAAAATCTGTGAATAACTTTGAGATAAGTAAAAAGCAATTTTGAATTTAAAAATTTGTAAACGTTGAGAGTATAATATTTTGAAGTTTTCAGATTCCTATTTCAAATCTCTTTCCTGCAGTCAAGTTTGGCGATGGCATATCAGAAATGCCATTTGATGCTCGAGTTAATATTTCAGCTTCTGCACCTGTTGGAGTTGCAGTTATCAATTTTGGAGATCGAAATGGAGATATTTTCACAGGTAAGATAAGTTTTGCTTTGCTCTGAATCCATAATTACAACAAATTTGAATTAATATTAGCTATGTGAGTATTTTTTTATTACAAAATAACATCTTGTTGTTTATATTTTTTATTGTAATACAATTTTGTAGTTCAAATTTATATTTTTGAACGTTTGAACAAGAATGATACCAAACAATTATTATAATTTGACTTTTTTAGATAAAAAATCTGTTTAATAACTTTAGTAAATTTAAAATTCGCTCTCTTTTAGAAGTGATTTGAATAAATTCATTCGCTATATTTGAAAATAGTAATGTGCTTATCAATTGTCAAAAAGAGCATCGTGTAATTTTGGGCTAAATAAACTCAAATTCAGCTTTGCCAACTACAATGGCTGGTAATAATTATGCATTCACGTTACCGTCACCAGGAAGTCTTGGCTTTTCTACAGCATATTTTTCTGCAGTAACTGAAGATGCCAAAATAAGCATAACCATTTTTGACAATGGCAGATATGAAGAATATACTCGACTAATTAGAGTATTTTTTAATATTAGCATTTTTTATTAAGACTCAATCCCTCAAATGACTTCTATAATCTTATATGCTGTGCTGCACAAAATGAAAATTTGCAGGTCACAGAAGGTAGTAACACATTGTTCTACAGTAAACGTAATGGATTCACGTTGTTTGCTACCAGTAATGCACCATTTTTGATTACAGTCGGCGTAGAAGGTTTGTTAGTGGCAGATTATGGTGAAGAAATTGCTGATTTTGGTTCATTTATGCCAATGCCATTGAGTACAACAGGTATAATAACTTTTCAAACTTTGCAAAATATCATTTTAATTAATCAGATAAAATTGATGTAAGGCACTGAACTTTGTTGTACTTCAAAGAAATTCACTTCAAAGCTTACTGCAACTTATTTTAATTTTTTTATAACTTTGGTATTTATTACATATAATAAATTATTAATAATTAGTAGTAAATAAAGCTCTTTAGATCACTCAATAGAATCAAAAGCTAAAATTACGTGTATAAGTAAGCTACTGGAATTTAGAGTTGAAATTTGTATACGACTTGGATCACTTCTAAAGAGTTGTGCTTATTGCTGAATTTTACCAAAATTTAAAGAAATTCACATTCAACTTCATATTTTAAGAAGTAATTGATGATAGCAATTATTCAGAATGCTCACAAGCAGTGGATCACAAATATCCACTGATGCTATTCAGTGCTCAATCTTTTTTGATCTCCCCTCCATCACCAAAATGTGTTCCATCAATACGATTTTTTGGTATAAGTGATAAAAACTTCTCTCGTGACTTACATTTATCAAAGCAATCAGATACTATACAAAAACTTGATTCTAACGTATACGGAAACAGCGTTGCTCTCTTTTCGAAGTTTGTACTAAAAACTAACGCTTTTTGCAACTTACAAACTTTATATACTTTTAATATATCTACACTGATTTACAACCATTTCAAAATTTTAGCTGTTTAATTTATGAACTAAATTAATTTATGATTTTAAGAATCCGAGTTTTTTTTTTTCAGAAAAATAATGCAACTATTGCATTAATAGCTTTAACAAAAATTATTTTTTACAAAAATGATAAATTAATGCAATTTTGATTGAACTCTGAAAATAATGAAAATACGTTTCAGAAGCATTTCAAAATTTAAGCGCATATATTTCAAATACAGTAAACATTGATTAATTTTGTTGATTTACGTGGAGATTAAAGTAAGCAAATCATTTTGCATAGAGTTTCTTTGCCACAAATTTTTTTTACGCCAAATAAAAAGTGTACTTAAGTAAAACAAAAAATTTTCACGTCATTAAAATTTGCCTTATATTTTAGTAACAATTTAATTATAATAATCAAATATTAAATCTGGTAAACTTTCTAGCACTGCAATATCTGTTATACGTTATGGTGGTTACAATATGACACTACCCCAACTTTCTTCCGGTACATTTTTGGACCAAATCGTATCTTGGGATAACTTTGTAACTGGTCGAATTCCGGTTTCTATACATGATACATTCAGCTCAATTACGGTAACAAATTTTTAGAAACAAACCATTTCTGTTAATAAACAATGTAATCATACTGTCTTGCACAAAAATTTAACTTGAAAAAAATGGAAACTAATAATGCTATGTAATTTACATACAAATTCATTCCACGTATTATGATGATGATTTTGACGTATTTTGATGATAATAATGATATTATTCTATTTCTTTTAAAAATTTGAGAAGGTTCTGCAGTTATTTTCGATGTGCAAATGAATTTTCTGATAGCTATTTTAGGTTATCGGTGATGAATTGACTAAGAACAGTGTGAATTTAAATTGGTATCCAGTTCAATATTTTGGAGAACCAGCGTACATTTCTGTATTCAACGCAGATCAGTCATTCTTTTTCGAGAACCCTGGTCGTTTTATAATTTACGTAAGCGCAAGCGTCGAGGTCAGTGATGGACTTAGCAGCGCTTTTGGTTATGCTGTAGGTTATGGCAGTAAGTATAAGATTTGACTTTCAAAAAATGTGAGGAATACTTGCAAACAAACTATTCATAAAACTTTATGAACAAATAAATGTTTTTGAATTAATCAGTCATTTATTTTAAAGCGATATATTCAAATTCAAAAGAAGTAATAGTAAGACTTTAATATATGAAACTTTTATTAAAATTAATTGAATAAAAATTAGCAAATTTGTTTAATAATTTATTATAAAAACAAAATTTAAAGAATAAATTTTCTTAAAGCCTAAAAGTTTTATCGTCATCGCTTAAGAGTTTTTAAGTACAAACAATTCATTATTAATTCTTAAAAATTGCATTATTGATTAATTTCAGGGAATGTTCCCGAGAGCAAAGGAGGCATTGGGATTGGTTATTCAATTACATTGATTATTGTAACGATTTTTTCTCAACTTTTATTGCTTTGATTATTGATTCACTTTATCTATTTTCAATCTATTTTTATGATATATTTGTGATAAAAATGACAAATCTTTCTCAACATAAAATTGTTTCTATCGATTTATTATCAAAAGTTATTATAGATAACAATTATTATATTTCAAAAAACACAAATTCTGATATCTTTCATTAAAATTTGAAAGTAAATCGATAATCACTTTTTCAAGAAAATAGTATGATAATTGTTATCGATTTTTTCTATACTTGCAAATGAGTATTTTAGTGATAAGCACGATAAAGTATATAACTATATCACAATTTCAGTACAACTAATCATGTAAATTGCTTGATGATCGCAATTTTTTTGCGATTATTTCAATACAGTAATAAGTTATCAAATATGTATTTGAAATTTTTCAAACGTGTAAAATTTTCTTCCATCGATCATTGCACAACTTTCCGATATTACAAATGGGTGTAAATGATGCTTGAAATTCCGCTTCGTTTGTCAAATTCGCAAACTCACATTGGCCGCGATGATATATTCGTAAACAGAATGATGCCAACCAACGAACTGTAATTAATTTCTCATACAGTCTTATATATATATATATATATATGTAATCCATTACAAAAATAAATTCTGCGCAAATCTTAAATACAAATGAAAATATTTTCAAAAATTTAACTCAGATGTTGCAAATTTGAGTATTTATTTTATAAGTAAAGACAATGAGGTATAATATAAAATATACTCTTGTCAAATAATTGACTTGAAAATGCACAAATTGTACTCTGTAGAGTTCAAATTATCATATAGCGATTTGCATATTTCAGATGTTTTACTAATGCCAGAACTTACTTTTCATTCTAATTTTAGAGAGAATATACTTTTTGAGTTAAATTTCTCATTTAGTTAAGCTATCCTTTGAGGGTTCATCAATGGGGTCAAAGTCAAGCAAGTGATCAGTAATTATCTGTTTTGTTGAATAAGATTATTCTGATTTTTTCGGCTATTGTGAACACATTATTTGATTTTTTGTTAGCAGAATAGCAATTACTCAAATAATATGCATGAAAATATATCCTTGATGTGTAATTAGTGATCAAACCGATTGATTGAAAAAAATCAGAGCAAAAATTAAACTTCATACAAAAATGCAAAAGCAAGAATTTTTCTTTTGCAGCGTTAATTGTATGAAAGTATAACATTACCTGCATGTAAGGTAATAAATAAGACAAGAATGCGTAAGCAAATACTCGTAAGTGATAAAGCATTTCTGCGCATGGAAAACGTCAGCATTGGTAGAGTAATGAATAAAAGAGTAATAAATGTAAAATGAAGTAAAAATGAGTAAAAGTAATGCATTTTTAATTGTCACTAGTAGTTAGTTATCAGTGAAAATATTAGAGAAATATTTACACAAATTTGAATTTGTTTTAAAATTTATTAAAGATTGCTATAATAAATAGAACGAAATAGCATTGACCGATTTGGTGAAATTATTAGTGATATTGTTCTGAATTGACCTTGTACCAAAATAGGTCAGCAAAATGAAAAATTGTTGCCAAATAAAAGTAAACTTCGAGAATATGAACTTGTTTGTTTTGTGTTTCAAATGTTAGTACTATTATTTAGTTAAGACTTTTTTTAGATCAAAAAATTACTACCAACACTGATTTTTCATAGTGTAAGAGTTGCAATTTAAGAAAAAAGTGATAAGAGAATTAATATTTTATCTCAATTTTTTAAAATTCAAATTTGAGTTGTCAATTGATTAACAATGTTTATTTTTTATTTGCGATTTTTTCGTCGCAATTAATGACAGAAAAACAGTTTCTTGTTGACTTCAACTTCAGTTTTCAAAAAGTAATTTAAAAAATATAAATTTAGTAATAAATAAATTTAATTTTGAAACAAAAATTAAATAAAAATTATATTACACTGTAGAAGTGCATTGTGACGAATTAAAAATACGTGATTAGATCACTGCGATTGCGTAACTTTGAGAACGAAAGATCTGATTGATAACAGTATATAGTATGTATAAATACATGAAAAAGGTAGTTTTAAACGATTTAAAAAATGGCACGTTTGAAAGGTAGCATTTATTATTTGAGTAAAAATTTAATTACAGGTATTACACGGGAAAAAAGTAGTAAAAAAAGACAATAATATTATATGCTTTTGCATGTCTTTTTCATTTCAGAGAGTGACAATATTAGATTTTCTGAAATTATTACTTAAAAATTACAGTTCAATACTAGCAAATCAGTAATATTTAGTACTTTAATTATTTGAAAATGAAAATTTTAATTTTATTAAGTAAATGAGTTTAAAAGTGAGCAAAATTGCTTTTATTTCAATAAAAAGAATTTATTTTCGTTCTTGTTCAAAATCATATAACGATGAACTTTTTGACCTTTTTACAATAATCCATTCATAATTACAATTTTTATTTTGTAAAATATTTTAAACAAAAAAATCAAAACATTGCATTTTGTTTTTTACAACTTTCAACAAGAACAAAAACAAATTCTATTTTTCGAAATAAAAGTAAATTTTGTGGCAAAAGTAATTCTGCTTTTATTCGAAATTCATTTTTTTATTTAGAGTTACAATTTTTGACTGAAATTTAAATTTGCATACTGATGTACTAATATTTAATTATATTTTGAAAGTAATAATTTTAATAAATTCAAGTAATATTATATTCTGAAGTGGAAAAAAAATACAAAAACTTATGAATGGCATTGTTGCATAAAATTTTTATACAATTTTAATTGCATAGCCTTTTTGTCTAATTATTTTAAAAACTTATAACAAAAACTGTGATTTGTATAAAAATTTTATTGAATTCAATAAAATTGGTAGTTGAATGCGACAAAAAGTCTTATCATGATAACCAATCTTCCTTGTCAACTTTTGGTCATCACTTGCGTCTTGACCTTTGCGCAACCCAAACTTAATAGATCCGCTCTTCAAGTCAGAAGCAAAATATTACAATGAAAATGCTTTTCGGTAACTTTTTGTTCACTTTTCATTATTTTTAATTCTAAATTTTGTTTTGTAAATTTTTGTACTTTTTTTTTTTGCTTACCAAAAAATAGTTATTTTGGTTAAAAAACTGTGCAATTGTAAGCAAAAACTACTTTAGCAATATTTTTTACACTGTCATTATTAAAAAGTATTCCTTTTCCTTATACTAAAATTGCATATCTTTTTTTGGCATAATTTAATCGCTGAAATTTGAACATTCGTATAAGTTGACAGAATAGCGAGTAATGCACAAAATTGCTACGATAATAATTGCATGGTTTAATAGATTTTGAGCAATGACTGAGGTCAGGTAAGAGTGAAAGGAAAGGTATAAACTGTGAATGAACTTTTGGTGACTATTAAAAATTTGTATGGGCACGATGAGATGACCTTGGTCAAAATTGCGCTCAGTGTTTTTCCTTTAACTTTATCCTCTTCCTGCAACGCTTTATTAAAATTAGTATAAATCCACTAGCTATAATTACATTTGTTTATTTATTTGTTAATCAGTTACTTATTTTTATTTATTTGTTTGTTGTTTGTTTACCTGTTTATTTATATAATTTTAATCTATTTTCACAAACAAAAATTTAGCTATTCAAAAATATCTAATAAAATGTTAAAAAAAAACCTTTCACTACTCTAATTTTATAAACAGCATATTGTAATCATACAAAACTTCGTGCTATCTAGTAAAATCAATAAATTAACATTTAAAACTAGTACTTAAGTAATCTTAAAGTTACAAATTTATGATAAGTTGATAAGATAAAATAAGTTATAGTGAAAAAATGTCTCTCTAACAGATGCTTTTTCATGAATGCTTTAGTAATTAACGTAATTAAAAAAAGCTATCAAATATTGAATACTTAAAAAATTCCTGTTATAAAATTTACAAATCTTGTTGCAAGTAAAAGTAAGCAGTCTTCGTAGAAATGTTATTTCAAGTATTTCTTAGCACATGCAATAAATGTAGAGGGAAAAAAACCTGATTTTGGGTAAAGATCATCGAATATTCAAAAAATTTTCATTTTGAAACCAAAACGAGGAAAGAAAGGAAGAAAGATTCATTGGTCATTTGGACAGAAACCAGAATTGCTATTTCTTTGCTAATTTACTCAGTTAAATCATTATACTATTACAGTAAAATATTAATTAGGTAATTAATAAATTCAAATTTGAATTTTTTATACTTGCATTTTAAAAAGTAGTACAATTTTTTATAAAAATTTAGTTTAAAAATAAATTATAAGCTGATGAATAATTACAAAATATTTTATTAATAAAGTAATTAATTACTGAGTACAGATGGTAAAATAGTATTAGCACAGTATCGAGTTAAACTTTTATGGAAACTTCATGTATCCTATAACTTTAGAAGTAAATAAGAATATTTCAATAAAATAATTATTACGTATATTTCTTTATTTTTATCACTATAAATATTTGGTAAGTTTTTCGATTATCTTTTACAGTTTACAGCGTTGAACTGTTTAGAGTACATAACTCAGTTTTACAATTAAAATTCAATAGTGCGTCAAAAACGTTAAATATATATTAGTTATCTTTATATTTCTTAAGCAAAGATTTGTTCAAAAGTAACTGCGATATTTTTGCGTGAATTAATGAAGGAAGTAAATATAAATGTGAAAAAGTAACTAATAATAAATATAGTAGAAAATTACTGAGAAATACGAACACGGAAAATCAGCTTTGTAGTGTTACTTAAAAATCACAAATTAGTATAACAGAGAAGTTTAAAAAATTAATCTGAATTTTATATCATTTGAAAGTCAATAATAAATATGCATATTTTATTCTATTCTATTTCAATTGAATAATTTTTTGTACTGGACCGGACAATAAGTTAAATCTAAAGCATTAGCTAATAAAATAGAAGACAAATAAGAATTTTGATTCTAACTTTATGGAATAACACAGCAACTTTACTACCTAAAGTTATAACAAATTCTAAGAAGGAAAAAAAAAATGGCAACTAGCGGTGATAACGTCAACCCAATGATGGGTTCGATAACTAAACTAAAGATAGGAGCAAGAAAAGTTGGACGATACTCGTGAAGGTTAGTGAAACCTTGGCCTCGATATTCATAGATATTCTAGCTTTCTATCATTCTCCTCATTTGGAGGTCAAAAATTCATCCTCAACTCCAACTTTGACCTCGACTTGAATTATTTTCATGATTGACCCAACCTTCTTTTATAAAGTACAAAATTTAGGTATTCAAATCAAGGTTAATAGTATTACTTTAAGGCCTTCACCTACATCTTTGCATCATATTTTTCACTTTTAAAAGGCCTTCACCCAAAAATGTCTTCATGGAACTTGCACTCACTTGATGATGCTTTCACTTGGGTCTGAAATATTTATGCAAATTTATTTAGCAACAGTTTGATGAATCAATAATTATTATTGCAGCATATTACCATTATGTAACTTTTATCTTAGCTCTTCTTTCAGTAATAATACTGCAAGTAAAATCACGTTCTGTTTCTTCTCTGACTGTAATATCTGAGCCGATCAGTAATAACAGTAATAAACTTAGTTTATTCCTTTTTTTTTTCAAGTTTGTCACTTCTTTGAAGGTCATCAACTGATACTCTTCAAAGTAAGGCCTGAAGTAATATAAAAGTTCATTGATATTTCAGTATTATTATAGCGCATATTACTATTCTTGTTGTTGTTATTATTATTTATATTATTGTTGATAGTACTGTTGGTATTTGCATCTTACTACACTTACGCCATTTTACTTCCTTTTCCTTGTTTAGGTTAAAAAGGCCTTGACCTTGCGCGATATTTGGGACACGGTGACAGTTCACCACAACTAGAATGACTAACCAATCATTCCTTCTCTTTTCACATTCAAATTTTCATTGAAAAAGTTTAATGCAATCATATTACTACTACTTCCTTTTCATTTCATCTATCAGTATGAGTCAAAAATGATAAAATTATTTTTATGTACAGTTTTTGCTAATTTTTAATTCTAATATTTACGATATTAATTTAATTTTTTTATTTTATTTTGTAATCATAAAATTGGCATTATTTTGAATTCAAAAATGTGAGTATTGAATGGAATTATTGCTAAGTTTAACTATATAGCTTACTGTAAATGTCTAAATTACTTCCAAAGTAAAGATTGAAAATGAAACAAATTTTTGCACTAATAATTTCAAGACTCAAATTAAGGTCACTGAAGTAAAATCTCAAGTTTTAATAAGTATCTGTTTATTTGAGTTACTTAACGACCTGTTTCGTTATTTGAGGTAGATCTGATTTACTTCACTTACCAGTCTTTACTACTTTTATTCTCTTTCCCTCCTTCTTTGCAATACTTTTTCGCTTACATTTTCTTGATAGGATGACACAGGTAAAAAAGAAGTACCACCCACTACTGCTAAATGATGAATGGTTGTTGTCTGTGATGTGAAATGCCTTGTGATGCTGAAACCTTTCTGAAAGTTTCTGTATTATTGCCTTTTGCAATCTTATTGCTACAACATATCTACTACAAATTAAACTTTTTTTTAAGATGAATTTTAATTTTTCACTTTTTTCTGTTTTTTTTTTACGTGAAAAAATATTGATTAAGTTTCTTTTTTCACGTCTTATATATTTTTGTATTGTTTGCTATGCATATATAAATGCTAATCTGTTGACAAAAAAAGAAACAAAAGAAAAAGAAAAATAGAAAAAGGCAGGAAACTTATTATCTGTTACGACCTTCAGTAGATGTACGTCTATCTATCGTCGTCAACAAGGTCAACGTAACATCAGAAGGCCGAAAGTGCCGAGTAAAACTGATCAACCTACCTGTCCTCATCATGGTTGGCATTGAAACGGCCTTGAAGCTGGACGATCTAAACTGTAAGCCACAAATTGAATACGAAAATTGTCCGGTTTGTGGGGACCGTGTCTCCGGGTACCATTATGGATTACTAACATGTGAATCATGCAAGGTTAGTACTGATCTTTTTTTTAATTATTAAACTTTCTTTGATTTAAAAGTATTCAATATTAATTAACGTTCAATTATATCCATAGCTATTAGCTAAAATCTTTATAATAAGAAAAATTTTTGCAGAAACTTTCAATTGAGATATTTGTTCACTTTTTTAAAATATTTTTAATGCTTTAAGATTGATCGCAATTTTCATCTAATAAAATATAAATATAAAAAGTTTAATTTCAACTAAAACTATCACAGACATTGTGATTAAAATTAACAAGATTATGATTTGATTCAAATGAAAAACCTTATATGCATTATCTTATATTTATTATAACTCATTTATCCATTTAAGTTTTTTAGGACAGGGTTGAGAATTTTTTGAGAAAGTTACCGAATCTATTTAAGACGTTATTAATATTTGTTGAAGTACCGTAGTCAAACGTGAAACATTTTTCTCAAAGAACATGTTTAAAGCAGCAAGCATTGCTTCTCAACCAATCACTTGTCAAGTTTTATTTCTAGTTGATTAAAAAATAAGAAAATTTTTCAAAAAATAAGCTAAAATTCTTTAAAATTAATTCTTTTATTTGAATCGAAAAAATTCTTTCATTAGCAAAATTTTTTAAGCACCAAAAATTTCAACTTTATTCTTCTTTGCACAAAACTTCTCTTACTTTCTTTTGATCACAAATATGTGTAAGATTCATGAATTCGAAATCAAATGAATACTTAAAGGTCACTGACCTTTGAATAAATTTTGCAAAAACAAGTTTTTAAAAATGAATTTTTGCTTCATTTCTCACACTATTAGAATAATTTTTATTATTTCGGTAAAAAAATTCTTTTGTAATATGAAACACAAAATGTCAGAATCAATTTGTTTTCTTGTGATTCTATTTCAAAGTTTTGATATTTTTGTGACTTTATTTGCATCATTCATGAACCAACTTAGCACCATTAAATTTACAGGGATTCTTCAAGCGTACGGTGCAAAACAAAAAAGTTAGTTACATATTTCTAAAACAAATCTAATTCATGTAATCAAATTTTGTTCGCTGAATTAAGTTCTCAAGCAAAAGTCAAAACCTTCAGTTCTGTCAATTTTGTATACTTTTGAAAATAGAACAGTTTCAAATCAAATTGGATTGCATTTACTTTTTAAACTTCTTTTTAAATTTTGAAAATATTTTCTTACTTTTTGATGAATTATTTTTTTTCGTAATTTTTTTTGTTATTTATTTTTTGTCAAAATGGCAAATCTTCAGTTCCTAATGAAGAACCCATTTTAAGTCATATCAGTGTTCGGCAGATCAGAATTGTGCGGTTGACAAATCTTGTCGAAAGCGATGTCCGCATTGTCGATTTCAAAAATGTATACAGCGTGGGATGAAGGTTGAAGGTTAGTTATTAATATTTTTCAAAAAGTTATTAATATTTTTTAAAACTTCATAATTTTTGGATTTGTTTTGTGTGTTGATGTAATAACAGGAGGGAAAATTTTTCGAGATAACGTCAACTGTATGTACAGTGAACAATAATAATACCTTAATAGTTACAAATTTACTTATCATTTTTGTTTTAAATTGTATTCAAAAGATAAGTTTTTCACTACTTTCTATACTTTTTGCTATCTTAATTCTAGCAATATCTCACATCTCATTTTACTATTCCTATACTTCATAATTTTTACTTTTTGAAAATTTTTATAACAATTTAAAAAAAATCAAAATAATAGTTTTATTTTGTGTTATTCCAATTAAAAAACTTATTAGATACAGATTGATTGTAAGAGATTCTTAACTTTGTTTTTTTGTATGCGAATTACAAAATTTACCGAAATTTTGAAGAAAAAATTTTACCAAACAGTTTGACATTAATTAAACTCAAATTATGAAGTTATTCTTTTTTACGTATTGTAAGAGTAAGAAAAGTAAATACCGTACCACATGAGTCAGTCAAAATGTATGTTTGGCAAGCAAACCTTTTTGTTTACATGAAATTGTGAACACATTGCTACTACTGTAATATGACTGATTTATTACTGAAAATATAATAATTATTTATTGATATAAATACAAAAAAAAAGCCTTTAAAAAAATTAATTAAAGTTTGGACTAAGTACGAATATTGCTAAAGTTGTATTTGTATTCTTTAAATTCATTCAATGCCAACTTATTAAACCTATTTAATTATTTTATTTTAAAAATATTTTTGAATTTATATAAATGAAAACGAAAAATTAGATGTAAACTTTTTAGTAAAATGCAATCAATTTATATTTAATCATTTTTAGATTTTAGTTTCATTTCCTTTCATTTCATTTCATTTCGATTACATATATCATTACTGTCAGTTTGAGTTACTGCGCACTATTTTGTTTAATGTCTGTGCAGTTTTTTTAAAATTCCATTTACACTGACATGATGATGGAAACTGAAATTAAATTTATTCATTGTTAATCAAAGCTAATTTATTTGAAAATCTACGCAGTTGAGTAGAATTTAAAAATGAGACAGTAATGGCATAGAGCAGAAAATAGTTAGATCAAATCAAATCAAAGGATAATTTAACAAGACGAAACAGACTTGCGCACCTTAAAATTAAAGTGAAATTTGA